TAGTAAAGAAATTCATACATTCAAACTTACATTTGTCTACAAAACTAGTTAGTCATTTAAGCAGAAACCTTTAAATCAAAAGATTTTCAAAATAATGAGAAATACATTTAGTAAAGTGTGTATAGTAAGTAATAAAGTGCTGATTAACAGAGATACTAGTTTATGCAAAGAGAGCTCTTACGTATGAAATCCCAGAAGGGTCAACCATGTAGAGCTGTGGACCATCATCTTCATCATAAGATCCCAGGATGAAACTGAAGGGTTAAATAAAAAGTTAAAAACATATACAAACTTATAAGAAATGAAACTTGCATTATGCAATTATAAATGCAAATGAAAATGCATTACTGAAACAAATGCAAAAGACCTACCTGCATCCAAAAGGCCTCACAGCGCTGTATAATGTGTAAGCATGGACATACATGGCCACTCTGTCTGCAAGATGCTGTTTGGAAAATATGAAAAGTATATCAATGACCAGCACCTCTTTTCAGATTTCTTCATGCATTGTCTACCTGTTTGATTTAAAAATGTCCATTCTTTGTTTCGTGTATATACACAAATAATATAAGACTTAATTTAACACAGCACACGAGTCATATAGACTTGGTCATTTTAGAGTGAAGAAATGACTGATGGTGAGTAAATGGCGTTAGAATGTTCATTTTTGTCCGATCTATTGCTTTAGTCAATCTCTTACCTTCAGTGGGATGTCATGGCCATAGTTGGAGCGGAAGTTTGAAGCCTCTTCTCTGGACACTTCTGAGAGCGATCGTGCATCTGCTAGAAGACCAGCCACAGCCTAGAAGACATACAGACAGAGATTCATATATGTAGAGATTTACACTTCCAAACAAAAGTTTTTTAATAAATTAATACTTTTATTCAGTAAGGACACATTAAATTGATCAAAAGTGACAGTAAGTAAAGATATTTTTTAATGTTACAAAATATATATCTATTTTAAATAAATGCTAGTTTTCTGTTCATCAAAGAATCCTGAAAATAATGTAATGTATAGTATATGTATAATAATAAGATTCTTGAGCACCAAATCAGCATGTACAATCATTTCTGAATAATGATGTGACGCTGAATTTTCAGCAGCCCTTACTCCAGTCTTCAGCTTAACCATTGCAGTAATAAATTACATTTTGAAATGCATTACAAAGAAAACAGTTATTTTAAATTCTAATGATATTTCTTTGTGTATATATATATATATATATATATATATATACACACACATTTATTTATTACCAACCACAAACTTAATAGCAGGTTATATTTTTAGTTTGTTAGACAAAAAAATTCAATGTCAACAAACAATTCAATTACAAACAAAGGTATGTGAACATGGATTAAGCTTTTTGACTATTATAATTTAAAGTGTCATTGCACTAAATCTAAATAATCACATGGATGTAATTGATTTTAAAGTAAAATAATGGAACCTAGCACCTATAATGTGACACTGCAATCTAATTTACTGCCATCAGAGTAATGTCAGTGAAACCTCAAATATTTGGTATTTGACAGAACTTGACAAAAATAAGTTACTAATGATAAATTACTGGACATGTTTTGAGCACTTGTTTAAACAGCATTCTCAATGTTCTTACCATTCCAACATGCCGATCAATATTGAAGATGCGTTTATTGGAGCCTTCCTCATACAACTTGGACAGAACCAACTTCTCTACACCAAACACGACTCCATCTTTGCAGCGGATGCCAATTGCTGTGCTGATGAACGGCAAAAAACAATTATTATTAACTTAATATTAGGGGTGCTCCGATTGATCGGCTACCGACCACTATCGGCCGATATCGTCTCTGTCCGGCGCAGGTGAAATAAGTGTAATGCTGAAGGTGAGGTACAGTTCATATTTCTTCATTAAATAACTTAGAAAGTAGCTAATTTGAAAACTTTCTGGGAGACATAATTTCACAAACAGCGTGAGTGAATCACCGCACGCACTCTCTTTCTCTCAAAATGTGCAAATGGCTTCAAATTAAATCGCGTCTGCAATATAAGCGAGCTGCACAGTTGACACAGGAATTGTCACTTGCACAATCGAGGCAGTGTCGCATCGTCACTAAAGTTTATAAATTGCATTTCTTTTGAATTTTTGCCAGTTTAAACCATTCAGCGCTTGGTCGCTCTCCTGGAGACCATGGATAATATGTTGTGTTTGTAGTAAACAGCCACGGATCAGTTGCAGATTCCTGCCTGAAAGCACAGTAAGCACCTGCTGCTTCTGCACCTCTTACATACCGCACATGGACTGCATATACACTGCAAACGGAGTATGTGTGAACCTGGTGTAAAAGGCCGCCTCACACACAGCTCACAAAATCAGGCTTGTGCTGTGTGTAAGCAACAACTGCACAATTGTAAAAACAAAAATGCACTGCATGATCAAACATTTAGGTGAGATAAATATATTTTTCTTAAAAAAATTTCTAAAAAATGCCCCCCTCCACCCCTCAAATTAAAAAAGTCCCCTCACAAGAGTCACCTAAGAAGGGAATTCATTTTCAAAAATGAAATTCGGGCCCTGAATAAAGGTCTAAAATTCCTGATTGGAGTCTTACTATAAATAATTTTACATGATAAAAAGAAGGCTTTAAAAAGATCGGTATCGGCAGATACTGCTTCCTGTGATCGGTCTCAAAAGTCCTGATCGGAGAACCCCTACTTAAAGGTACAATATGTAATTTTCACCGTTAGGGGCGCGTATTCAAAATAAACAAAGAGGCAAAGGCGTAGTAGCGAAACGAGGTGCTGAACGAGCGTGACACACGGCTCGAAAGCAGCGGAGCGTTTATTATGCCACAGTCGACCGCTTCCGCTCCTTCCGGTCGTTCTTATGTGGGGGAAAAAAAGCAGCGCTGTTTTATCATACTAGATACATTTGAAAGTTCTGTTATTATGCTATTCTGTGCAGTCGTCACCGGTCTATTAAAACTCACAACATATTAAAGCATCTTTGGTGTTTCCATGTTTTCTAGAGATTTACTGCTGATCACAGAACCGTGCTTCACTGAAAGATACGCATGACAATCGCAGCTTCTGTCGAATCGCGATCTCGATTCCATTTCGATTTATCGTGCAGCCCTAGCAAGTACACAAGTCAGCAAAATATATAACACTGTTCTAGTGGTTTTTGGATATTTTAATAAAACAAATCTTACATATTGTGCCTTTAATTTGTACTTGTACTTTCATCAGACATCAAATACGAAACATTCAAAAATATATTGTTATTTGTTGGTGTTATTAAAATAAAGGTAAAGCCTTTCTCAGCGCAACACATCAAAATGTACATGTTTCTGGTTTCAATTATTTCAAGTGTAGTAGTATTTAATTAATTACCTGCTATTTTCTACAGCCTTCATGGCATATTCGACCTGAAATACCCTTCCATCAGGTGAGAAGGTGGAGGCGGATAAATCATACTGGAGAGGGAGAAGGGAAATACTGTCAACAATTATTACTAGTGTTCATTTAATAAAAATAAACTATTCAAAGAGTTTGCAATAATAATAAACAGAGTTGGGCATCAATGACGAGGCTGAATAAACTCAAGTGCAAAGCAGCTTTCTTACTGCACAACACATTTAACGTTACTTTCACTTTACCTCCACGGAGACTTTTCATTTGAACTGCTATCATTCATTGTTAACGAGCAGTGACTCAGCAGGGGCCAAGTAGTGCAAAAAATACACAATTAACCCATGTAAATGAAAATAACGTACACTACTTATATATGAAAACTCTTTATTAACTTTAATTAGGTTGGAACAGGGAAAAAAAAAACTAATGCAGATCCTGCACACTAGCAGTAACGTTAGCTTGTTAGCTTCAGAATGACACAGACATACACGCATTGCTTATTTAATCGCTCTTTCTGGATCAGATCTCATTCAAACACTATGATACATTTTGTATTATTAAATCCACTCACCCCGGTCCCAATGGAGCTCATTGTAATTGACTATGATTAACTATAATCGTAAGTAAGTGCTCAGCATTAACAGCAGCAGACTCTACAGCGCCTCGGCTCGCCCTCTGCCACCTGCGATCAACGAGCTCTGTGATTGGACACTATATCGACCAATCAGATTCTTTTGAGCGGCAAGCGGCTAGTCTTTCACAATAAAAGTTGGATACTAAAAAATAAAAGTTCGCGTCTTTACAGTATTTTTACATTTGAAGATTTTAACTACAGCGTTATTTAATTATGTAATTTCAAAATAAATATACTATGAAAAAAGTATTAAATCAACACAATAACAGAGTGTACAAAATAAAGTCCTTTTTATATAAATATATATTAATGTAAGTACATACATTTAGCAATTTCAGACAGGCCTACTTTGTGCATCTTTTTTTACACATACACACGATCAATTCATATAGATTTTAATATTTTAATTAGTGCTGTCAAACAATTAATCGCGATTAATCGCATCCAAAATAAACGTTTTTGTTTACATAATATATGTGTGTACTGTGTATATTTATTATGTATATATAAAGACACACACATACAGAATATACATTTTTAAAATATTTACATTTGTGTATATATTTTATATTCATGTCATATATAAATATATAAACGTAACATATTTTTCTTAAATACATGCATGTGTATTTATATATGCATAATAAATATACACAGTAGACATACATATATTATGTAAACAAAACTTTTATTTTGGATGCGATTAATCGCGATTAATCGTTTGACAGCACTAATTTTAATCTATCTATCTATCTATCTATCTATCTTAAAATGTTTCAGGTCCAAAGGAAAAAGATTTTCAGATTTTCACAGGGACACTTTTTGACCCCCATTGTATTTCTAAATATTTTGAAATATTTTCCTAAACAGTAAGAAACATTCATGAACCAAACCAAAAGTGTTGATTTGACCTCAACTTTTCCCAAATATTCTAACTGAAATGACCAAAAGTCAATAAAACAATCACAAATACACAATAGTGTACCATAAATGGAATGTAATATTTTATTACATACAAATCCAAAGTCATTCAAAAATGAGTCTTTTCCCTTCAGAACAGCGGTTGCTGACAGACCACACATGGCCAAGACAAAAGAAGGAAAGAGATAAAGGCATTTCATAACAACTCATTTCCAGCTTAGGCAGCACAACATTCAATACTCTTACCACCATCCTGTAATAAACCATTCCAATGCTACAATTACTTCATACATGCATAAACCCTTATTAAAAAAAGATTCTTCAAATCGACTGGACCTTCAGTTGGTCAGTATGCTACAGGCTCAGATCTCATCCAGAATCACACCAGCTCCTCTCTGTCACAGCTAAATTGGTTCGAACTCAAGTGTTGTGGATCTTAGACATCCAGGCTACTGTAATCCCTGAGACATATTTCATATATCAGCTGGCAAGCGTCTCAAAGCACTCACTCTGATATCTCTCATAGGGTGGGACATCTTTAACATCCATCTCCTGTCCGACATCGGGTTACACTAGCATAGACAAGTACCCATCACATAAATAAATGCAGGTATACAATATAATCATGATGGACATCAGTTAAGCTGGGTATATTTTTATAGGCACTAGGAGGTGGGTAATAATTTGCACTCAGGGTGACTAATGGAAGATGTGACTGCAAGGAAGTCAGGGCTCAGATTTTCTTAGATGTTTCTGAATCTGTTAAAAGAGACACCCACAACTATGATTACGACAGATTTGATATTTCTGAGAGGTAAAAATCACCGTTGCTGAAGTTCTTCAAATCCTCCTCCTGAAAATACATACACGCAGGACGTTTTTGTAAGTGGTTTTGGCTTCCTGTTGCATCCATGCCAAGAATAGTTCCTCATTCGAACTCAAACATAACTAAAGTACTAAGGCGAATCTCATGAAAGCATGGCCAGGTCAAAAAAAAAAAGAAGAAGAATAATAAAATAAAAACAAAAAAAAATAAACATGAAAATACATGAAAAACTAAAAATAAATAAACAATAAAATAAAATAATATTTGATTATTATAATGCTAATGGAACAGAAATAACACACCTCTCCTTTTATAGCATTATGTTTTGTTTTGTTTTTTTACTTGAGTTTTATTTGTAATTCCAATTATTTTCAGTTGAGATTACTATAATATATTTCTATCTTTTAATTTTGGGGTGAAATATGACTGGGACACATTCTCTCATGAGATACACCCACACAAGCTAAAATTACTATCCTTAAAACATTCCACTTCCCTAGAGTTAAAATCAAGTCATGTTCCCTTAATTAAAAGGTGTATGTGTTTGAATTCAGTCAAGGTGTTGTAAAATAAGCTTAAAGACATAAATAAGACGAAGAAAGAATTGTTTCCATGTTTGTGATAATGTGTAACTGCTCAATCCCTTGTCTTAAAGTGGAATATGATGCTGCTACGGAATGAGAACAAAGACGTGACTTCAGTGGGCGGAGCATAAAACAAGCAAGCAATAATATCCGACCAATGAGGATAAAGCAATGTTAGGTAAAATATGGACCCCATAACACTTCAGTCATGCTAAATTTATCTGCATTTCCATTTGACATTAACATAGTAGGCTACTGTGCATCTGCATTGATTGATTTCAGTCATAATATAATGAGCTCTGGGTGTTCAAAGATTCTTCTGTGTATTATTTCAAGATTACTGGCCCCTGTTGGATTAATGTGCGTGAAGTGAATGATTACGAAGACATTTTAAGACATAAAGGTTCTGGATAGGATTCAAGAAAAACAAACTGAAAACAAAAACATAGGACCTATAGGTGGGATAACTCGGTGAATCTCATTATGAAGTATCCAGATCATATTTTACACAAAAATCAAAATAAAATAGTGGCATTGACACATTATTTTCATGACAATTAGGCACATTTTCATGTATGTAATGCATCCATGACATTGCATTTTCATTATATTCTCATTACTATAATACAGTATTTTTTATTATATTAAAATAAAAAATACTGTAGTAAAATGAATTTTTAAATGCAATTTAAAAATCAGCACAAAGACAATGCAGAAATTAGAATTAGATTAAAAAATGTGCTTAATTGTGAAAAAAATAATATTTAAAAAATAATAAACTTATACATTTTAAAAAATGTATAAAAGCAAAATCTCCAATTTGTTTCTTGTGGTTTAAGGGCGAAATAAGATGTGGATATGTTGTTGACAGGTTTTGTGAGATTCACCCAACTTTATATTAGCTGGACCCAATGTTTGTATTGCACATGATCTGTCTCGATGTGTTTCCACAAAAAAATAAAAGAATGCAATAAAAGAAAAGAAAAAAAAAAGACAAAAGACGTCTCTTATTCAGATCTGCAGTACAAGCCCAGCGGCAGAGATGTTGTCTCCTCCTCCAGCAGTCTGGTATACCTCAGTGCACACCAGCACAGGAGCCACGCAAACCTCATAGCCGTCCTCATCCCAGCAGGAAACGGGTCGAGATTCCTGGAGTGGAATTCTCTGACTTCCTTCTTGCCTGCTAATGGAGAACGATTCGTCCATGATCAGCCGCGCTTTACTGAGATCTATGTCCGGCGAGCCGCAGACGTGCCGGTTGGCGGTCAGAGATGCTTTGGCTGTGGCTGACATGGTGTTCTTCCACTTGGAGCCACGTTTGACGATGATGGCCTGGAAAGCCAGTGTGTGGACGTGAAGGCGTGTGAGTGGCCGACCCGTCCCAGCCTCCCAGTGGCGCTGGTCTACCAGGCGGTAGAGTTCTCGCATCTGGTCCAGCACTGTAGCTACGCGTGGGTTGGGGTCGGAAAGCACGGTCAAGTTGCTGCCACGGAAAATGCTCAGGAGATTGGGCAGCTCTTGCTCGTTCATGCCTAACGAGTCGGAGTGAGGAAGAACAAACTCTAGGAGATCTGACATCAGACTCTCATCTATGAAGCTGGCCATCTCGAAATGGACAGCGGTCTGCGGGGACGCGGAGGACAACATCTTCGCCAGCTTTCCCAGCAGAGCCTCACGCTCTCCTAGAGGAAACAGAGTTATTATAGAATCTCCTAATTAATACAGCAGAAACCCTGATTTTAAAGGGTTAGTTCACCCAAAAATGAAAATTCGGTCATTACGTCACCTGCTGTCAGAGAGTGAATTTGCGTTCTCATTCAGATCGTCTGCTGGTTCTGTTTCCTTCAGATGTTTTATGTACTATAGTTTCACAAAGCTAATGTCAGACTATTCTGTTTTTGCTTCAAATTTCGAAATTATACAATCTAATTTAAATCAGAAACTGCTCATGCGACATGTATGCCGCATCTTTGTTTGGACTGTGATTAAAATGCAGTGACTGCCTCGAATTTTAAATGGAAAGAGCACAGACAAAGCCTTAGCTCAGATTTCTTTTATTTGTAATATTTAAGTTTTAACATTTCACTTTAGTTTTGTTATTTGACATATTTAAATTTGCAGCATTTTGTCTGAGAAATAATAAAATGACACTTTTTCATTTATAATTTGCCTTAAATCTCATTTTGTTAAAAAAATTGTGAGAAAATCGTATCGGAAAATCAGTATCGTGAATCGTATCGCATCTTGAGTTGAGTGAATCATTACATCCCTATAGTTAAATGGTTAATGGAACATTAAGAGTGAAGTACACTGAAAAGAAATGGCATAAAAACAACGTTCCCTCAGAAATCGCTATTTTTTGATTGCTACATTTTGAAGTAAAAGACTGAAATAGTACTTTCTTGTAAAATATACTCAAATAATCTTCATTTCATTTACAACTTAATAAAATATTTTTACACACTGAAAAGTCTTTACTTCGAAGCAAATCTCTCAATTAATTACAAAAAGAAATGGCATGCAAAACATTAAATTAAACGAAACTCTAAAGTAGAAATACTGAAATAGTATTCTCTTATAAAATGTACTCTAACAATCTTTGTTTTATTACTGTTTATATACAGCTTCATTTAGCTAAACACTTTAAGCATTTTCACCTTTAGGTCTAAATATCACTTAAAACAAATTTACAGCAAATATTAGTAAAACTAATTTCCCTCTAGGGCAGACAGAAAAGCAAAGCAAAGCAAA